AGACAGAGAAAGCTGCCGTGGCGATACAATCTCAATTCAGAAAATTCCAGGAGAAAAAGGCTGGCTCTCAGTCTTAGTCTCTACCTCATAGTTTCCCCCATTAAACACTATCTAGTCTATCTGGAGCTCACTCCAAAATAACATCTATGAAGATGGTATATATGGTTGAAGATGGTATATATAGTTGACATGAGAGAAACAATGGCTTGTCACAAACTTTTTATTACCTTAACTTCATCATTTTCAAGATGACAGGCCTTGGAAGTATGATGAAGGTATCCATAGAAATAAGTTTCTTCATGTTGAATCAGATTATTTAGCTTTTAGTATTAATCAGCAGTTACCCCATGTTTCAAATGGGAAACTTTCACAGCTTTATGGGAAGTAGATCAGAGAAGCTTTAAATGAAAAGATCTTCTTGCTGTTCTTTCAGATAGTAGATCCGGCAATTCACAGAGGAAATATGCCTGCAATCAAATGTTCTTCTTTTTATCTAAATAATAAAGTAAAATATAAATAACTGTTTGAAGTAAACATGTAACACAGATTAATTCTCATGCAGATTTATTAAAACACAGACCTTAAAAAATAAATTTATGTTCCAGCAATAGTTAAAAATTGGGTTTTCATCACAATAATTTGTTGCGTTTTTTTTTTTTTTTTTTTGATCTTAAAATGAGGCAACACTTTGAGCCTGGGGGAGATGGGATTCCCTGGCTGCCCTGGAACAGATGGAAAATGTCCGGGCTTCTCTGCTTCTTCTGCTCCTTTTTCTCCTCCCCCAGGCTTTTTGCTGTCCTCTTTTATTGTGCTAATTCAAGGGAGGAGGTGAGAGAGGAAATTTACAGGAAGGTAAAGAGATACAATGTTAATCTTTTTAGACCAGTCTACCTGACATGAGCCACATACTCTGTAGCTGCTATTTTGTAACTGCTATAGACAGGCATATCTTCTTGGAATACACATCCTTTGTCTGAGGTTAATCTTTTTATTAACTCCCTTCCTGTCAGTGCTTTTTCCTTCTATAATGTTCTGAACTGAATACGTGCCTTTTAGCAAGATTTCTTCCTGTGGAAAAATACAAGACAGAACCAAGATAAAATAGTCACAATAATTGTAGAAACATTTAAATCAGGGATGCTTCCAGCACTCATCCCATTAATATCAAGGCAAAATCTGGGTCCATTCAAATGCCTTAATCTCTCTCTGAATGCAAAGATAGAAGAATATTCATACTGAGGTTCTGAATTTATTTCAATTACAAAAAGGCAAATAAATATGAAAAAAAAGTATCACTTATATATCATTGATGCTGATAGTAATAATGCTGCAAAGCAGCCAAATGCCATTCGGTGTCCAATGCTGGGCATATCAAATTAATCAAAAGCTTCCACACAGGGGTTATTTATTAAATGCTGTTTGCAGTTGAAAATTGACTTACAGATTAATTGGCAGACATCAAAGATTATCCAGCCAATTCATGACATCAGCACAATCATGTAAGCCAGATATTTAATAGTAATCTTCTCTGATGAGATCACAGGATAAAAAAGGCAGTGAAGGTGGGCTTCTTTCCAGCATCTGCCGACTCTCAGAGTTGCCTCCTGTGTCTGTTTTAGCACAATGTATTTCCTCTCCCTGCCACCTGCTTTATGTAGTTGGGCCAGATTGGGGATTGCAATATTTACTACTCTCTGATTGTTATACAATTTGCACATGGGGGAAGAATAGCAGCATGAGAACTACTGCAAAATATTTTTAATGTAGCTAAATTCTTTTGATGAGATTCTTCCAGATCTCTTACCCTATATTAAACAATGGGTTAAATAATTTGGTTTCTCACCTACCTTATTCTCAGCATAGAGACAAGGACACTTATAGCTCATGAGGAATTTTGATTATTTTTATTGTCCAAAAATATCATTTGTGGGCATAACATGTGGACATAATTAGTTTCAATCAAGCAAAAATGAATTGCATGTATGAGCCTTTTCAGCCTGGCATTTCTTGATATATTAGAATAATTCCCATAATACCCATCTGTCCTATTAACTTAAAGGTGTGAGAATTGCGATTTAAGAGGTTATTACACCAAATTTTAGCAAGTCTAGAGGCTCTCTTCAAAAATGCATCTTTATAGTTTAGAGCAGGGCTGTCAAACTGCAGGCTGGAATGTATCACATGTTGCCCATGCCCCGTTTAGCGAAGAGGGAAAAAGTCCCAATACGTCACATGATGAAGCAAGTTTGATACCCCTGATTTAGAAAGATGCAGATGCTTCCCAATTGCTTATAACCAAAGAGCTTGCTTAGCTCTCATTTTATGTGTGTCGGTTAACAAAAGTACACAAGTTTCCTCATCTCACTTTCAGTGAAACCTGTGAAACTGTGGCTTACATATTCAAATATTTGCTTGGCCCTGTAACAATGTATTACTATAATTTGGGTGGGCTACATGGTGATCAGAAGTCAGAAGGAATGGAGCTTTATAAGAGAGAGCATTCCCCAACTTTTTAGAGGCACAGCATTTCTTGTCCATAGCAATCACAGCAAAACTGTCCACAAATCTCCTTTCTTTAGTTTATCAGCAACAAAACCAAAGTAAAGCAGTGAGAGGTAATCCACTTCAGTGCCGCAACTCAACAGACAGTGACAATTGTGGAGAACCAGTTGTTCTGGAAGAGCATTATGGCTCAGCTGCTGGTCTCTGGATCAGCGCAGCAATTTGCAAATACAATAAATGGTTCAGACTTACCATTAGCAGAGATGGAAGAATTTAAAAAAATGCTGATCAAATCCAGGTGTCACATCTGTTGTTCATCCAACTATTTGTGATATGACACACAGCTCACCATGATTGCTTGTCAATATCACTTCTTTGAGCTCTTATGAGCTCATGCTTGTGATATCTGGTTTCTTTTCTTCGACTGGTCTCTTTTTCTGTTCTATTTTTCTAAACACCAGTGTCTTTTCCAAAGACTCTTGGTTTCACATTAAGTGACCAATATATTTAAGTCTTAATTTCATCATGAGCACTGCTGACTGTTTTTACTTAATCTAGTATTGAATTATTTGCTTTTCTTCCTGTCCAAGGTATTCTCAGCAATTTTTCCAGCACCACAGTTCAAATGCATTGATTTTTCTTTATTCAGTCTCTCTGATAGTGCAGCTTTCATAGCCATATATTACGATAGTTTGTGACTTTGTACAATACAGATTTTGGGGGGTAATGTGATGTCATTATACTTTAATATCTTATTTATAATCTTTCCCCCAAGAAGCAGATGTCTATTTTTTATTGTAGTAATCATTTCTGTAGACTTTTGAGCTCAGGAAGTAAAACCTGTTATTGCTTCCACACTGGCTTCGATACTCTCATTTTTCACCTTCAATAAAAATTAAGCTTCCAAAGTAGTTTAATCACAACTTCTGAGGTTGTTGAACCCCTGCATCAAAGCCTTTGTAGAATCAGCACTGAAAATAATGTCTTAAGCATTCACTTGGCTTCTCCACTATCTATCAGATATTTGCAATGATATCCGCAGTGCTGCTGCTGAAATCAGATTGTATCTCCAGTGCTCTTTGTTCCATATATTGTTGAAGTCCAGGCTGCAAAATCTTGAGCATCATCTTCATAGCATGTGAGATAAGTATAATTGTTCGGTAGTCTGAATAGTCTTAGCTCTTCCCTTTTTTGGTATTGAAATAAAGACTAATCTTTTCCAGTCCTCTGGCCAGTTCTGTGTTTTCCATGCCAACATAGAAACTGCAAGAAACTATGACCTTAGAAGCAGATCTATTGGAAATCTTCTATGTCATAAACCATCAAAGTTTTTTTGTGGCTTTTTCAAATGTCTGGTTTTAGTTTAGTGTTCATACCTTTATATATACTAATGATTTGGGGGTCTTTATGTGGAGTCTTTTCATGTATTTACATTTTTTCTCCATTTGCCTTTTATTATGTCCATCTTTCTATAAAAGTTTTTCTTAATTTCTCTAATTTTCTGAAATAAATGTCTTGTCCATTCCATTGGATTGTTATTATTATTTTTTGCATTGTTCATTTAGATAGACTTCCTTGTTTCTTCACAGCATTCTCTAAAATCTGACATTTAGTTGGGTAAACTCTTTTGTAGCTCTTTTCATCTTTCCTCAGCTATTTTCAACATATTTTAACATATCAGTCTAGAGTTCGTAAGGCACGTTTTCAGATCTAATCCATAGGATCTCTTATCTTACTACATATTTGGATGGAATATGATGATCTTCATGATTTTGTTTGCTTTCTTTAGTGAAATTTAACAAGAAGTAGTTCATATTCTGAGCCACTAGATTTTGATTTTGTTGACTGATTAGAGTTCCTCCAACTTTATTTCTGAACTATTTGGTCAATTAAGTTTCAGTATTCTCCATCTGATAGTGTCTGTCTGTCAAATTGTCTGCTAGGTTTTTGGAAAAAAACATTTCTTGTGAACATCAAATTATCCCAACTGAACTCTTGGACTGCTTAGCACTTCAGAAGATGGGTTCATGTTTCAAAAGGATCTTCCTCAACTTGTTGTCACAGGGAAGATAATTTTATTCCCCATAGTTCCCAAGGGTAGAACAAGTACCAGTGAATGGAAATTTTATAGAGGGAGATCTGAATTTGAAATAAGGGGAAATTTCAGGTCTGTAAGAGAAATTACACAGCAGAATAGTCTACCTTCTGTAGGTGTAGGTGCTCAGTCACTGGAGATTTTCAAGCAGTTTGGATAGTCATTTGTCTGGGATGGTATGGTATGGAGATTTCTGTCCGGAATAGGGAATTGGACTTAGAAGTAAGTCTCTTTTTCCCTAACAGCTCCTTAGCTACCTTCGGACCTGAAAAACTGATCTTCCACTATCACATAGATATTGTCCTGAATACAAGTATCCATGCTAGGTTTTGGGTGGAATACTGTCCTACAATTTCCTTCTTCAGTAGAATGTGCTTTGTTTGATCCCTCATTTATGAACTACAGACAGTCCTCAACTTACAACAGTTTGTTTAGTGGCCATTCCAAGTTACAATTGCACTCAAAAAGTGGCTCATGACTGCTTTTCACACTTAAAACCATCCAGATGGTCACATGATCAAAATTCAG